TACTCACAGATGGAAATAGGAAGTAGTATATTACTTGCTTTTATATAACGGGTACCACATTACCCAACAAAAACAACTTATGGGAAGAAAGATTTACATTGTCCCACTTTTTTCATCTCATCATAGAAGTGGGGGTTTGTGGTGAAGCAGGCCAAATGGGGGAAGTAAGAGTATGAGGCAGAGGCTGTTTCGTACTTACCTACGAGGAAATTTTAATAACTACTATTAAATTTATTCTTCTACAATTTCATAGGTGTATATAATGCCTCTGACTTCTCTTATCTCTTGAAAAATCATCCCCTTCCCTACAAGTCCCCTTTCCCATACTCACATATCTGTGTTTTGTTTTGTTACACTCTGAGTTTTACCAGGGCTATTCACTGAAGCCTGGTGGGATCATCAATGGGCATAAAACTGAAAACAATGACTCTTTATCTCCCAGAATCCATCAGGAGCCAATAGTTCAGCAAGAAAGTGTAAGGCACTGTTGCCCCCCATTGCCACCAACCATGTTATAGATTGTTTCATTTCACATTCTTGTGAAAGTTAAGCACAGACAACCACAACTGATCCAAAATCATTATTGCAATGGCTATGTGATGCACAGAGGACAGCATTTTACAGCCCTTTCCCTTACCTTTTGGCTTTTACAAGATTCCCAACCCTTCTACTGTGATGTCCCCTGCTTCCTAGAAAGGATGTATGTCTCATTTAGGACTGAGCATTCAACCACCACTTATTCTCAAAATGTTAAGAAGTCATGAGCCTTCACATTCAACTCATTCATTGAAAAAGGAAGCTTCTCCAATTAAAGCTGAGAGTAGCATTTGTCTATGAATATAAACATAATATTTAGAAGGCAGTTTGATGCTGCACCAATTTAGCTCAACAACAGTAGTAAGTTTCTCTGTATGGTTTAAGGCCTCTTCTCCCAACTTTTAAAACCTGGTTATACGGTATAGGTATGAATTCTTTACTGTGGATTGGGCCCCAGCTACAATGAGAGAGTAGTTGATTACTCCCATAATAGCTGTGTCATTATTGAACCACTGTGTACCTTTTGCCTGGCAGGATGGTGTTATAGTTCATAGGGCTCACACATGCGTAAGACCACTGATGCTTACCATACCCCTACACCAGCAGTCTACACATCACCTCTGACACTGTGCAGGCTTTGTATACAGGGAGGAAGCTTCCAATTCAGCTCTGATTTGATTTCTCTGTATTATTAAACCAATGTGCTTGGTGTCTTCAGCAATAGGTAATTACCATCTAGTTCCCCTGGGCAACCAAGAGCAGTAGCAAGAGCCTATTTTGTTTGGGGAACTTTGGGAAATAAACATATAAGGAAGTATTCCATAACTGGTACTTTGATTTTTGTTTAATAATCCATGAGTCTGAGGTGCAGCGCTGTCTAGCTATGCAGGATATCACCTTTGTAATTCTTTTTGTTAAACCTATAATTTTTTAATCAGATTACAAATTATAGATTTCCAAATGGATTTTTCATTCCTCTTTCATCTTGGTCAGCCTTCCTTCTCTCCCCTCCATCTCCCCAGTGCTCTCACTCCATCCCTGCTTAAGTCTTTTCACCTAGTAGAATTCCTTTTGACTGTCTCATGTCCACAATCCATGCACCTTTAAGTCTTTCTGCACCACAATGGCCCTTAAAAGCTTCCCTCGATTCTCCAGGTATTCCAACTTAAACACACAAATCCCATTACTGGAAGCTAGGATTCACATGAAACAGAGAACATATGACATTTGTCTTTCTAGACTTGCAAATTTTATTGAGTAAATATTTCTCTAGTTCTATCTATCCATTTTTTGTGTGTGAATTTAAGTTTTCATTGCAGCTGAATAGAATTCCATTATGTATATCTACCACATTTTTATTGTCAGTTCATTAGTGACATGTAGACTGGTTGCATTGCCTAGCAATTGTGACTATATAACAGCTGTGAACATGGATGTGAAAGCTTGTAGTAGGATAAAAGCTTTGAGTATAAGCCCAGGAGTGCAATAGCTGGATCACATGATACTGTAATTTTTTTTAGCTTTTTAAGGAACTACAACACTGATTTCATTAGTGGCTGCACCCATTTGCACTCACATCAGTAATGGATGAGGCTCCTCTTCTCGTCATAGCCATCTTTTGTAGTCATTTGATTTCTTAATGATAGCCATTTTGACAGGGGTGAGATGGAATCTCAAAGTAGTTTTGATTTGTACTTCCATGATGACGAATTATGATAATGAGAATAAGTACTTTGAAAAGTCTCTATTAGCCATTTGTATTCATTCACTGATTTGTTGTAAGTGGAGCTGATTGGAGATACCAGGTCAACATTTGACGTGTGGGCATATGCTATCATGCAGGACTGGATGTCTCTGTTGCTCTAGAAATGGAAACAAATTGGTCATCGGCACTTGAGAACTATAATATTGATAAAACTAAAGCAGATGTTAAGGGAAAAAGAAACAAGTTAGACAGGGTAACTTGGAGAAAAGTGTATTTAGGAGAACAAAGTGAGGCTGACATGATGGCGTGGTACTGGTGCTTGCCACTCAGTCCTGGCGAGCTGTCCTTGAGCCCAGAATCTACACAAAGGTGGAAGGGGAGAACTGGATCTACAGAGTCATCCTCTGGCTTCCACATGTTTACTGAGGCACTCACACGAGTAGTAAGAATTACAGTGTCTCAAAAGGAGGAAGAGCTCGTGAAAATCTACAAGGTGCCACAATCAGGAGTCTGTTGGGAACCTATGAGAGAATTTTTTTTCAGAGACATTGGAAGTCAAAGTTAAGATCTCGCTTGCTGGTATAGAAGAATGAAAAACAAATGGAAGCGGTAAGCTGAGCAAGTTCACGTTCTGTTTTGAGGTGCTTGTAGGCAAAGAAAACATTGACTATCAAGATAAGAGACAAATAAACCTTACTAGTGCTTTGTGGTATATGGGTAGTAGAGGGGGACCTGGAAGCATGGACGAGATGGGAATTACTCATGAGGCAGAGACATAGCAACTCTCAATTAGGTAATGGACAGCTGCCATTATTCATATTGTGAAGGAAATTGTGGATGATCAAGTCCAAATTACAGCAACTGAAAGCACAGTCTGTTAACCGGAGCTTACATAGCAGGTGGTTTCAAACCTTTGGACAAGCCAGGCTTCTCTCTCAAAATCCTCCTGTTCTACCATATCCAGATATTTTTCTCCATAGACACACTAATAAAAAGGGGATATACAAAATCAAGACAGTTGCTCCATTCAGAGACTAACAGTCTGTCACTGGGACCCCTCCAACTGTAGGACACTTTACATTTGTGAAACAGTCCACGTGAATTTCTGTGACTTGCTGTAGTTTTGGAAAGAACTGGAATTAAAGCTGAAATTGGCAATAGTGTCATATCTTCAGAATATTATTTTGGGCTCTTAGTTTTTCATATTTCAGCTGATAATTTCATACTGCAGAAAACATTGCAATTGAAACATGTGAAGGCCCATGCCAATATATTTAAAATTTCAATGTTATTAAGATAATATAACTAAACTTAATGTACTTACATATTACCAGTAAGAGGTATGAAAATGGAATTTGCTTAGACATCTAGAAGTGTAATCTTTGTATTTTAAATGATTTCATTCTTTTGCAATGCCTACTGTAAACAGGACATTGAGCTCAGTGCCAATACAGAACAGGAGTTAAGACTTGATCTACAGAATGACTCTCAGAGCTTGGTTTTGTGCTTCCACGTGGAACCCTTTGCATACTTGGAACTTTTAGTCTCTACAGTACTTTTTCAAACTTCACATTGAGCTTGGAGTTGATGAAGATTTAGATCAGTAATCAAATAAAAGATTAATTTAAAAGCATCCAATGGGGGTAAAATGTTTCTCTCCATTTTAAAAGTTTTTTAGAAATAAAAAAGTTTTATTCTTGAACAAGAGGTCTAGCCACAGGTCAAAGATACTCAGTTGTTTGGCTAAGCACTTTGTGAGCCAAAAATACTTCAAAGGTTAAAGAAAAGATAGTCACAGGAAATGAGCCTTGGCTCAGAGTACAGCTGGATTCTGCAATAGTTTTACCTGATTGCATTTTATTCTGTATTAATCAAGTAGATGTAAAAGTATATTCAATATTTTAATGAGATGAGATCATTAGAGTTAAGCTTCATGAAGTCAGGTGATCTATCTTGTTCATTACTGATTCCCTAGTGCCCACTTCAATCCTTGGCATTTATCAGGGCCTTAATAAAGGTGTTTTAAAATAATCCCATGGAAAGACAATGAGTTGAAGCCCTGAACATCAGCATCTGGTCACAGTTCTGCCTCTGAACTAATGTCTCAGCCAGACAAGCTTTTCCTTGTTTCATTGTTCTCATTTTTTTAAAAAAATTATAAGGATTTTTATTGATGAAAATTCTTCTGGTTTCATTAAAGTGCTTGGCAAGTCTATTTGGAATAAGTTGGCAATTACTACCTTAAAATAAATACATTTCTCATAGATGATATAATTGCTAACATTATAAATTAGGTCATATAGTAAATGGAACAAAATAGATTTGAGGATATTGATTTCATCTTATCACAGTGAAACGTTACAGTGCAGCTTTCCCACGCAGAAAGTTTCCAAAGTACTATGAACAAAGAAGAGCCTGGGGGTGCAGTTTCTTCGTTTTGTTTAAAGGAAATATTGAGTCAGAGTCCAGAGGGAAATATTTCTTTTAAGTTCACAGTGTGATTCCTGCAGGTCAGAGTTGATGCCGAGGGCAGGCAGGTGGGGAGGAATCTCCTAGTCCTAATCCTGGGGTGTGAGTAAATAAGACATGCATTACCAACAGAGGGTGGACAGTATTCACATTAAGTAGAACCATGACATTGAATATATCTTTATGGAAGTCTAAAACAAGAATATCAAAGATCACGGAATTAATCCATGAAAAAATGGCTATAGAAATTAGGCTGTACTGATCCTCTCTCATCTCTCTTGTATCGTAGATCTTTGAGAATGTTACTGGGATAATTGTCCAAATCAAATTCTATGCATCCAGCCATGGTGAGTAGAACTATTTAAAATATCATTTTTTGTTTGTTTATCTGTAATTTTTTCCATTGGTAATCACAAATTTCTGGTGACTGATAGAGGAAATTCAAAGAACTGATCTTCATGTTTCATATTTTTATGATAAAAAGGAGAATGATAGGCTGGGTATCTCAGTTGGTGGTGTGCTGAACCAGTATGCTTGAAGCCCTGACTCTGCCCAGCACCACATACAGCTGGCACACTGGTGGATTGAAATTCTAGCACTGAGGAGTTTGAGGCCGGAGTATCCTAAGTTCAAGGTCATCAATAACTACAGAGTGAGTTCTAAGAAGACTATTAGAGATTAGAATCTCTGAATAGTTTTGACTAAATTTTAATATTGTTATCCTGAAGTGCAAATATACAATGTGTAAAGTTTTGCAGCACTTGCAAAAGTAAAATGCCTGAAATGAATCCTCTTGTTACTATCAAGTCTATTTCACAAACACTGTGTGGAAAAGATTGTGTATGGAAATAGACGCATGAAAGCCCCTTGTCCGGCTAGTGTGTGCCATTGATTGTCTTATGATAAAATTATGAAAATCTAACCCTCAGGCATTAATGGAAAGAAACTGTTTGCCTGTTTGTTTACATTTGTTTTACCCTGGTAAACTGTTTAAATTTGCTTTATCTCATCATCCTCCGCAATGAAATCATTTTTATTATTGTCTACAATCCCAGGTGGGACTGAACATTCTCTTTGACAATATTCCTCTGCTTGTGTCTGTCACAGTGTCCAGCAAATGAGTGCTCTTGTATACAAAAGAGCTGTCTCAAGTATAGAGAGCTAAGAACCTAAATTAAGGGCTTCAATGTGCCACTAACTATTGTGGTGATATTTTGTTTGTGATAGAACAAATAAACCTTGCCTGAAGATCAGAGGACAGAGCTAAGCCACTAGTTAGCCAAGAGGCAGACGGAGTTCTGTGAATTCAAGGACACGCTGGGCTACACAAGACTGATCCAGTCCAAAAGAAAAACAGAGTGGTGGCACACACCTTTGATCCCAGCACTTGGGATCTCATGCCTTTGCTTCCAGTACTTGGGAGGCATACATGCCTTTAATCCCAGCAGTAGGGAGGTTGAGACAAGAAGTGATATGGCTAGGTGGAGAAAGGAATATAAGGCTGGAGGAGACAGGAGTTGAGCTCTTTCAGGCTGAAGAGGCTTAGAAGTAAGAAGTCTCTGGTGGCTGGCTGCTCTGCTGCTCTAATCTTTCTGCTTTCACCCTGATATCTGACTCTGGATTTTTATTATTAAGACCAATTAGGATTCATGGTATAGGCTATGTTTCCATCCCATAGGTTATGATGTTTATGGTGGATCTATATATTAAACACATCTAGTACAATAAAAATAAATCAGCCATATTCTCAACACTTAACATAAGCAGTTCATCCTGTTTACAAAACTGGGGACATTTTCAGTATATGAATGCACAGCCCACTGTCAGGATGCTAGATATAATGCATTGATGACCTAAGTTTCTCTTCTGCTTCCATCTCTCATTGCAGCAAGACTGGAAATCTTGCTCACACATATGTCCTTTTGACCTTGACTGATTGTCAGCTTGCTCTAAGCTTTCCCTTTTCATCAGCAAAATGAAGCAAAGAATACATATCTACTTGACTGAGTGTTTCTAGAGTTAAATAGATTAATGTGTTAAGAGTGTTAGGTGTATACACACACACACACACACACACACACACACACACACACATACACACACACCAAAAATGTTTCAACTAATTCTTTTAAAAAGCAGTTACACTGAGTTCCTTAGAAGGTTAGTACTTGGCCTCTGAAGGATCAGAAAAGTGAAAGGTTCTTTATCGATATCACTAGTCATTAGTGAAACACAATGAAAACAACACCAGACATCATACCTCATAGGGTGACTAAAATAAAAATGCAGATATTGTAATAATGACTGAGGATATGGGAAGAGTAAATTCTAAAACATTGCTAGTGTGGTGGTAAAGTGATGTAGCTATTTCTGAAAACAGTTTAACAGGCCCTCAAAAGTTTAATGTAGTTATTTTATGACCAAGCAATTCCATACCAGGTCCATGCCAGGAAAAAAAAAAATAGAAGCTTACCGTTGGGATAAAGCGATTGACAAGAAGCAACTTCAGGGAGGAGGGGTTTATTTTGACTCACTGTTTGAGAGGATACAGTCCACCACGGCGGGGAAGGGCTCTGAAGCTAAAGCAGGAGGCCCCTTATAACACAGCTCCAGGCAGGAAGCGCCTGGGAGTGGATGCTAGTCACCTAGCTAGCTTCCTCTTTACATTTTTTTCCCAGCAGTTATAATGAATGGTTTTAAATAAAGATGCTTTGTGGATAATGTCTGACTCTGTATAACCTAGTTGAAATTAATGGAACAACGAAAGACTGACCTTGTGCATTAGAAGAAGGAGTGTTAAATAATACAAGTTACTTAGATGTATTTGTGAGATTTCTGTAAAGTCCGTTAGGACGATGTCCATGTGAGTATTTCTTTTTTTCTTTTTTTTTTTTTTGGTTTTTCGAGACAGGGTTTCTCTGTGTAGCTTTGCGCCTCTCCTGGAACTCACTTGGTAGCCCAGGCTGGCCTTGAACTCACAGAGATCCGCCTGGCTCTGCCTCCCGAGTGCTGGGATTAAAGGCGTATGCCACCACCGCCCGGCCCCATGTGAGTATTTCTTACCTTCTGACATCCCACGCAGCTTTGTGCCATGTGCTTCTTCTTCAGTTATTTTGTGGCTCTAGGCATGAAACTACATTATCTGTAAATAAGAACCATCTTTGGTATTTTTGTTTTTTCCTTTTACTATAACATACTTTAATATTTTCAGTTTATTACTTAATGATGTGGTGGTAGCTTGTAGATGAATGTTAAATGACTAAAGAGTATTTGTTTTTTCCTGGTTTTATTTAGAATGTCTTTCATGATTATTATTTGAGTATCACATTGACCATTTATGTGGGTCTTTAATTCACTAGAATGTTATCCAATTACTAACAAGCTAAATTAGATTTTATGAGAATTTTTTCCTAATCTCATTTGAAATATATGAAGAACAATTTTAATATGATAATTTGGTTTTCTTCTCTTGGCCAATTCACTTGCTCATGTCATATCTTCCTTGGATAGTTTCATAGCTTATTATTTTTGAACAAATATTATTAACTATTTATTATGTGTTTGTATTATCGTGTGTACTTGTGTGTACCTTCAGATATGGAGGTCAGAGGATAAGTTCCACAGTTAGGTCTCGCCTTCCACCACATAAGTGCTGGGGATTTAACTCACATCCTCAGGGTTGAAGGCAGGTGCCTTTACCTGATGAGCAATCTCACCGACCCAGATCTCTCTTTTGTTATATAGTTTATGTCAATTTGTTTTATTTACTTAAGAATTTTTGAGAAGTATTGCAGAATGATGATAGCATTTCTTAGTATCCTTCTGTCTGGTAGTGTTAAGGAAAACGTAAGGGGTCACGGCAAACTCTCCCTGGAATGTGAATCTGGGGGAAAGATACAAGTAAAATAATCAAGCCACAGACTTTACTTTAGGGGTGGCCTATAAAAAGTTTAAAATAGCTGAATATGTTGGTGCATGCCTTTAATTCCAGTACTCAGGAGGCAGACCCAGGGGATCTCTGAAGCCAATGTGGTCTACAGAGCAAGTCCCTGGATAGAAAGGGCTATATAGAGAAATCCTGTCTCAACAAAACAACAACAACAAAGCAAAAACCCCCAAACTTTACATGTATTTTATCAATTATTATAAAGGAATTACATTTAAGCTGACAGCTCTGAAATACCATGTTGCCCATTTTGTTAAGTTTTGCATCTTATTACCATATGCTTATAAATGAAATGCTTTTTCCTTGCAAACTTACCACTGAATAAACCTGATGGACTTGCTGATATTTTCAACTTTTATGTATTTAATCTCTGATTTTCATTTTTTTATGTCAGTGTTTTGGAATATTTTACTGATTCTCTCAAAAAGCCCGACCTGTAGTTATTGCTTGGTGTTGTTTGTCAAGTTATCAATTATTCCATTATATTCATATTGCAAGATTCATTACTATGGAAATGTCTCTGATTATATCCTCAGTTGTGTAAGTAGGATTTGGATATAATAGTTTTCCAATGTTTTGAGTATGTATATGAAATAATACAATAGGTAATCCTTGTCATATAATAATTTAAAGACATTTCTATCTTATCATAAATCATTATATTGTATAAATTCTTTATTCTTACAGATGGAGTAGACAAAGACAAGAATTATTTGTGCAAATTTGTACTGTAGGGTTAGGTATAGGACTTAAGGATCTCTTTGGATCTGCATTGTCACACAGAAGATCGAGATCTCTACTAACTTCCCTCCTGTCTGAGAGGGAAGTGCCAGTGTTCCAGTTATTTCTCTGAATTATTCAAATCTAGTATTCTCACCTTAAGTGGATTTCTTTCTCGTTCATTTTGTGGCACTCAACTAAAAAGTGCAATCATTTTCTTTTGAGTGAATTAATACTTTTCTCCTGTGTCTTATTTTTAAGCACTATTTTATAACTAGTAAAACTCAAGGCAAATTTCAGCCAGAAATTGAGACACAGTATTCCTTCTACTAGCCACTAAATATCCTCTGAAACAAAATGTGTGCCAAGCAACATACCAAGAGATGGGGAAAGCAGACTCAGACTCCCTACCACAGATAAAGTTTTAACAAGTCTGTGGAAGACAGCATCTTCTTCTGTTTGAACCTGCCAAGGCTCAGTATCTCCACTTTCTAGCAACATATCTTTTATTTGTAAACCTGAAGATATGCCAGACTTGGTGAGTTTTATCTCCAATCTGCCCTTCTTGCCAATTCCTGACCTACAAATGGCTATTCACATTGCCAACCCAATGGATTTTCCACGTGTGAACTTTGCTGAATTAATGTTGTATTAATGTTGCATTCAGTATTTTGTCATAGT